CCTCCTTCTCCTCCTCCTCCTCTTCTTCCTCGGACCGCAGCCTGGCAGAGCCCAGGATCAAGTTCTCACCTGATTCTCAGCTGCCTCAGGTCAGGGTGGAGTGCCCCTTCACTAAGCTCACTGCTCAGCACCTGCATCACCCTTGCCCGAGGCCAGGGCCGGCCAAAGCTGAGCTGTGAACTCACTCGGAGCCTTGCCAAATGGGCAGCCCTCCAGGGTCCCAGGAACACATCCTGCGGGGCATCTCCCACCACTCACCTTATCACCGTGGGGGTGATCTCTGCACAGAAGAACACACTGAGGCTTCCCACTGCGTGGGAGGCAAACATGCCCACGATGGAAAACGCGATGGAGAATTTGTCCTTGACACTGTCGCTCATACCTGAAGGGCAATCAGAAAGGGTTGGTGAGGAGGGGCAGAGGGAAGGGGAAAGGAAGCTAGTCACGCTGGGGCGGAGAGAGCAGGGGAGAGGGGAACAGGGAGGCCTGGGATGCAAGAAGGGACTTCCCTCTTCCCCTCTCTGCTATTGGGGTGCAGACCAGGGTGCTCAGTCCCTCTGCAGAGGGAGGAGCAGCCCAGAGGCAGGAGGTCAGACCCTCTGGGCAGTAGACTGCCGGGTTCCTGCAGGTCCCCTGTGGGTCCAGAGGGCTGGGGCCCACACGGACTGCTGGGTGCCTCAGGCCGAGCCAGCCTGGCAGGAAGGGAGGCTGGCGGTCTCAGGGTTACAGCAATGTCCACTCTGTCCCAGCATTCCATATGGTTCCAGAGAAAGGTGCCCGCACTCAGAGAGCCCTGGCTATTTGGGCCTTAGTTTTGCCCAGTCCAATACACGGGGCAGGGTATCTTAGGCTTGATTTAAGGGAACAAAAACTCAAATAATCCAAACAGAAAAATTTATGGGCCTGGAAGGAAAGGGCTCAACCAACCCAAGCATCTTGCTAATGGCACTAGAGTCTGACCTCACGCCAAGGTGGTGTCTAGCGTGAAGCAATAGCGGGCCGCTGGGGCAGAGCTCAGTTCCCTGCGAGGCTGCAGGGGGACCCAGGCTCTCCCTGTGGAGGGCCCAGGGGCATGGGCTTGGGTCAGGCCAGGCACGTGTGACCAGCAGCACTGCGGTGCACGGCGGTGGCGCTGCTGTCCCCGCGGCGGAGAGCAACAAGCCCGCGAGACTCATTCACAAGCAGACAGCAGCTTCCCCCGGCAGCACGGTCAGCCAGGCCTCCAACACCCTTGGGCGTTCTGATCTCGCCCAGCACTGTCCCTAAGACACTCTGCATCTCTGCTTGGCTGGCAGCTGAGGCCTGTGCTGACTGCCGGTGCTGGTGCCAGGGGAAGAGGCGAGGGCATGCGTGCAAACTGGGCACAAACAGGAGGAGGAGCAGCTCTTTCTAGAAGCAAAGGGGGTAGAGAACACAGATGTATGCTTATAGTGTCCAACCTACGGCCAACTTCAGCTGCAACTCTTGGAGGGTGAAGGAGGAGGAGAAACAGGAGAGGGAAAACACAGGCGAGTGAGTGTTTATGAAATTGCCCGTTTGGATGCAATACAAAGATGATGACGCGCACGCACAAGCATGTGGGGCTCACCTGAGTCTGGGTGCTGGCTGTACTTCCCAATCACTGGGCCGCGGAGATGATGGCAGCACACGGACGAGGACAAAGAAAGCGGGAAAAGGGGGAGAAAGAATGCACATTAGGCAAGTCCACTGTGTGTTTCCACGTGGCTGGAATCTCAGTGAATTCCCTGCAGGTCTGGGCCAGAGAGCTAGAGAGATGGAGAAGGCCTGTGGGACAGTCCCAGGCACTGGAATTAGCACTCCGCTAAACAAAACTCTTCCTGTTGGGAAGGGCAGGCTAAAGCCTCACTGGCCTCATCCTGGGGAGAAGCCTGCACCCTCCGAACCGACTCTAGCTCACTCCCTGGCCTGAGCCACGCACTACTTCCGCTGCGCACGAGCCTCGTCACTGCCGGCCTGTGCTCAGGGAGCCTCCGCCGCGGCCAGGCCACCGCCAGGGGCGTTATGCTCTGAGTCTGATCCTCAGACGACTTGTCCTTTGCACAGAGTTGCTGTGGCGTTCCTTCCTGCTCAGGGAAGAGAGCACAGTGACGTCCCGGGCTGCCGCTGCACATCGCCTGGAACGCCCACTCCCCGAGGCTCCCTGGGAGGGCAGCTCGGGCAGCCCCACCAGGGACAGGATGGTCGAGAGACAGACAACACTTCTCTGGTCCCTTGTCAGTCACAGCTGAAACAAAGACCAGTCCCCAGCGAGATGCAGGACGCACAGGACCTGCCCTTAGAAAAATGCCTCGTGAGGCCAAAACCAGCTATTCTCTAACCCAGTTTGTACACAGGCTGAGGAAGTTGTGAGCTTTCTTTTGCTTCCTTCTGTTCTGGACCCCGACGCGTGTCTTGGCCACATCCCGCACACCTGACATACCAGAGGCTCTGACCCTCGGTGCACGAGGGTCCCGAGCCCAGTCCCCACAGCCTGGTGGCTCCCCTCATGGCATCTGTGTCCCCACAGTGTCCGAGCTGTCCCAGGAGGCCGGGCACGGGTGAGAGGAGGGCTCAGATGCCTGGCTCACTCACGTCTCACCGTGAGCAGGCCAGAGAGATGCCTGTGGCTCCTTCCACGCATGGAGGTGGGCCTTGGCTCACACGGTGCTGTTCTGAGCTTTCCTTCTTATACTTGCAGGGGCTACATGGATTCCCTAGCGTTCCTTTAAATCATTTAAACATTTACTGAGAAATTTTTTGGCCCAAAGACAAGCTGAGGAATTTGGGAATATCTACTGAAAAGCAGTGTCCCAACGCAAGAGTGTTAATATTTATTTCCCCCTTCATTTCACAGGGAAGAAATAAGGCCTTGTTCTTCTCTGTCAGGTGCTGTCACAGAGATAGTCTGGCCATTAGTGAAGCTGCGGCCATGCAGGTGCAGTCAGGGCGGCTCTGAGTGGGAGCCCAGGGTTGGGGAAGGAGAGGAGAGAAGGCAGTCACCATGCACAGCTGTTAGAGCTGCTGATTTTGGAATACCAGGTCACTGAAAACTCATCTCAAGTCCCACCAGCCCTTTCGTACACCGGCCCCTTCACC